AAAGTCTGGTGATATTCCACTATTTTGAGTTATTCCAACATATTGTACATAGACTGCTGCCAAACTCACAAGAACAAAGAATGAGTATTATTCTATAGATGAAAATAGTCCCCATCTAACACATCAGTGTACATAATGTTAGATAGAATGACTAAGTGTTGATTTTGATTTTATTATGGTCATTTTTAAACAAAATATAGGATAACACAAGCCTTAATGTCTAAAGTGACATGGTGAGATTCCTCAAGAGAACATTATGTACTGTATAACTGACAAGACTTACAGCGACCACTTTACACAGATGTGAACAGCTTAAAATGGGAGTCCTGTGATTTCTAACATGCCAGATCTTAATCTTTGTTGTGTTGTGTTGTCTTTTCACATTTTTTTTATCCCATGGATTTCTATGTTATTGTTTTTCCAATGACATTATGTATAGTCTGACTCCCAAAATAAATTAAGACAGTAAAAGACAAAATAACTGTAATTTTACCTAGCTTTTATCCAGCACATCTAAAGTAAACATGTCTTCTTTCTTCCTCTCTAACACACAAACACAACACACACATACACACACCATCATACACTTTCACTCTGCTGTAAGTTGGTGACATGAGTCCTTGGAAAGTGCAGTATTCAATTTGTAACTATTATGGAGACAAGGACACAGTCCTTTATGTGAGCAGCCACAGAGAGAAAATGGAGGCAGTCACTATAGCAACCGCCAGAAGAGCGCCCAACAAATCAACAAACAATGTAGTACAAGACTTTTCCAGGAGAGGCATTTAATGCAAAACCTTGAATCATACAAAGTTGTCCTCTTAAGTTTCTGAGACCTGTCTCAGAGTGTCTGCAGCTGTCTAAGTTCCAAATGTTTGGTAAAAAAAAACCTTATATTTTTCTTCACACTTGAGTTTCAAGGCTGGCTCAGCTGAATTTGCCAAAGATCTGTCTTCTTGGGTCATGGTAACCTCAGAATTTCATTTGTGTGATCAGCCTTCAGGAAATGCTTACTGCTGCAAAAGCACATAACAATACTCTCTTATTAAAAACATTTGCTGCACTTGAGCAATCGGCACAAACTGGAAAAGTTCAAAGTTTCAAAGCGTTTGTCTCAGAGCTGGATTAGACAGTGCTACAAAATAAGTTTCTCCTTTAGTTAATTCAGCTGTGAGACAAGTGCACTTTTTAAAAGGGAACATTTATTTCCTGAAAACCAAATGGAATTTACTTTCAGTGGTACTTGACTTTGTCTTTCCTTCCTACTTCAATTCATGCCATGCCACTCTCACATTCCCATGCCCCTTGTTTGAGTAGCTTTGCTTCTGACCTTGCTCGAAATGTCAGTACCACACACAAAGCTGCAGTGTGGCTGATGCTGCCTGACTTGTCTGGGTGTCACAGCGATTAGTTTTAGAAGAGTGCATCATAGATAGATGAGTGTGCAACTGAACTATCTTTTTTTTTTTTAAATGTACAGGTTTTTGTATAAAATCACATATACTGATATTTCAGAGTGGATCAGTCACTGACAGAAAACACATTCATGCAACAGGATAGTTTGGTAAATGCAGACAGCATGATCAATTTGAGTCAGTAATGCTTGAATATGATAGTTGACTAGTTAGACAAACACAAACATTAGCAGGGTGCTGTGCTTTGTGAGAAGCGTGCTCATATCTTGAAGGTTATGTGAGAGGGCCTCCCTGTGCAGAACAATTTTAGACTGGGCTCAGGATCAGCAGGCACTGAGCCAGAGAAAGGGCCTGCTCCATATCACAGAGAACAAACCGATAGCACAACTCTGACAGCTTTATTTGATGACATAGCTTCTAGAAAGCAAAATGTTTTTCAAAGTGAGTCCAGTATATTCCTCAACACCAAAAAAAACAAACTACACTTCAATGAAGTATTATTAACATTCACTAACATCTAGTTTTACTCATTAAATTTACCATCTAAAATCAAGCCCCGCTTTTTATGCTATTTATGGTCTGCATTTTTTCTACAGTAGTCATTTAATGCATTTACATTTTATTATATATAGTAAGTATAGTAATATTAACTGTTAGTGGCAAAATCTGTCATTCTAATGTGCTGAATTCAAACTGTCACAGGAAATGTGACTTTTGATGGCAGCAAGGCAGCAGTACGGGGAATCCAGATTGTTACAATTTTCACAGCTAAACGAGGCGTACAACTGGCCGTCATCCGTGACACAGCCGTAGGACACTAATGAATAACATGACCAAGTGGCAGCAGATCCAAGATGAACAAAATGAGCTGTATTAAAGGATGGGTTCTGGATTTTTCAAGTCTCTTATAACAATGTTGATGTGCCCATGCGTATGAGAGAATGGGAACTAAAACCTGGGAAACAAAATGAGAAAACTGAAGTAGTTTCAGTCCCCCAAAAAACCTAGTCGGGGTGGGGAGTAATTTCTGAAGGTCCAAGAACTATTGAAGTAAGGTCTTCAGTGCTGATTATCGTTGACTGGTCAAATACAGGGCTCTACAGTGAAAGCATTTCACTTGCATGTACAACTAAAAATCAGAGTGCGCCAATGTGAAAAATGATTTGGGCACATTGTAACTGACCCGAGGTTCCTTGGGTTCTCAGTTTGTAGGGAGGATTTTATTCAGTCGACCTATAAAAAGAGAGAAGTGAGTGAGATTAGCAGACTGGAAAATATGGTTTTGGTGTTTTATAAAGTGGCTTCTTCTGGTGTTTGACCTCAGGGCGAAGTTCAGCTGCTCCACACATGGAGCGCAGCAGGCAGAGGACAGCACGACATCGGCTGAAGTGAAATGATACTTGGAGTTAATCTTTATGCTCGTCACTGTTTGTGCAATAACACCTCAGCATGTAGGAAAAAAATACACCCGTTAAACATAAACTTAAAAGTGATGATTTCAGCTTTGCCTACGGTCACTGCTGCTATGTGCTAACCACAGCGAACATTTTACATGTGGCATTTTACATTACTGCTGCCAACTGTAGTGCTTTTATGTCAGCGTGCTAACTTGTTTCATCCCCCCAGGCTTCGGCCCTGCTATGGAAATGCGCGTCACAAAATGTGTAGGGTCTTTTATCCCAGGGACGGTTCTTGGGCTTTAGTTCCTGAGAATAAAAAAGTACCAAAGACTTCCAGATACTTTGGTACTAGGTTGAGCTTAATGGGACTCGTGAAGCTTCATATGAGCCTGAGCCAAACTTTTTTGCACAGAATGAGGGTTGTGCATTTCTTCCCCGACTTCTTACAACACGGTTGAAGACTAGTTTGTGTGAAAAACTTTAGTGCCAGTGCAGAAAACAGATTAAATAACCAAGACCTATTCTCAAATACATGTATCAATACTGTTGTTTACAAAACACTGGGTAGCTTTTATTGTGAAGCAGTCACAAGGAACAACAGTGACTATATCAAAATGAGTCCAAAAAAAAAAAAAAAATCACTTTCTGACCGCAAATCATTATTAAATACAGAAGAAGCAGGTGCAGTGAGATATTTGATGAAGGGCTGCAGACGACAGGCTAAACAAATATTTTATGAGATTTTCTTTGCTTTGTCTGAAGGATGTTGGAGGAGTGGAGAGATTCTTCGGTACATCTTGTACAAATATGATAAATAAAGGAAGAAAAGGAAGACCCGTGAACTAGACAAAGAGTGACAGAACACTGGAGCTGTCTTTTCAACTCTTTTGCAAGAAGACATAATGTAATCTCTCCTTGAGACGGAAGGATTTTTATAACCTGTGCTGGCTGGGCCTTGAGCAGGAGAAGAGACGGGCTGAGTGAAGGCTGTTTATCCTGTGGTGTCCTTGATATAAACATGTGAAAAATCTTGCTGTTTTCTCTCTCCGCCAAATCAATATAAAGACATTTGGCCTCTGAACAATGCTGTAGCACTAGTGCAAAAGTTTTTCTTCTTGCTGCCATTCACAGCCCTGTCCTTCAATACGACGGAGCAGGGGACACTGATGTCCTTACTGCGACTTCATGACATCATTTCTCCAAAGATGCGAAGACACTTGTGTGAGTGTTTTTGTTAGGTTGATGCACCAGATTGGCCTGAGTCAGGTTCTGACCTTTGCTCAGAGCTTTTGCACTATTCTTGCTCAGTTTTCCTTATTCACGACTTCTTGCTTTTCTATGGTAAAACTTCTCTGTAATCACATCTGATTTTCTCAGAGCCCTTTATCTCTCAGGTAGCAGTCAACCCTAGCCTGTGATTTGTCTTAGGAGAAATTAAGATAAACTCTCTAATTCATCTGATTTAGCCCAACCTGTTTTTCTCAGTCTCTCATTCACTGACCTCCACTCTTCCCCCTCTTAAACCCCCCTCCCAATGCTGTTCCTCATCCTCCTTCACTGACAGAGCCAAGGAGAGCACTGAGTCATGACATCATAATTCACAGGCTCCCGTTTTCACGGTTAAATCAATATCATTGTGTCCGAGTCAAGGTTGTTGGCTGGCCTTCGCAGCTAAGCTCTTCCTACTTCTTTCTCGTAGAAAATCATATAAATTGTCCCTAAAATAATTAAGCCTTCAGTTCTGTCGCTGGCCTATATTTTTTACCAGCTCCTGTCTGATAAACAGCACTGCCAGAGTCAAGGTAAAGCTGAGGATAGAAAAGGGCTTAGAATCCATGTGTTTCTTTGTCATTTTCTCTCTCAGTTATTAACAAGGCCTACTGAGTGTTGTTGCTTAACTTTGGTGTTGTATGACACGTTCTGAAATCAACATGCCATGTAGTCACATATGCTTTGTGTTCTCTTTGAATCTTTCCTAAAATTTCCCAGGTGAGCAAAAGAGCATGTATCAGTGTCTGATGGGGTTTACTGCTAAATATGAACATCTAATTTGTAGTCTACTGAATATGTGAAGACACTACACTGTGCGTGTGTGTCAAAGTGAGGAAGAGGAGGAGGTGGAGAAAGAGGTGGACCCTGAGCCTGGGGAGGCGGGATATACAGAGTCTGAGCCAGGAGCCTGCTCTCAAAGCGCAGGGACAGACGGGAGCTAATATAAACCTGCTGCCTTTCACTGGGGGCTAACAGGGGCTAAGGAAACAACGCTACCTCTGCCACTGACCTCCGGCGCTTCAGATAAGACAGCGGGACGGGCTGAGCTCCGGCCCATGTAGAGCAAACAGCATCCATGGCCACGCTGGAGGGCTGCCGCTGCCGGGGTGCCAGCGGCCGAAATAACAGCAGCATCCTATACAGCATTTTGAAGAGTAACAGCCTTGGGACCGCTGAGGAGGAACAGCATCAACACCCGCAACAACAACAACAACAAACACTACAACATTTCTTCCACAAAACCCTCTCCTCCACACCAGCCTCGCTCCAGGCGTTTCGGCAGCAGGCTTGCTCCTGCGGCTCGGCACCGCCGAACGGCAAGCGGCGTCGCGGCATCCTCCGCTCCCCGCAGGTGACGTGCAAAGCAGCGTCGGCGGTGCTGGTGAAGACGCTGCGGTTCGTGAAAAACGTCCCCTGTTTTCGTGAGTTGCCGGAGGATGACCAGCTGATGCTGATCCGGAGCGGATGGGCGCCTCTTCTCGTCCTGGGGCTCGCACAAGACCGGGTGGACTTTGAAACCACGGAGACCGTGGAGCCCAGCATGCTGCAGCGCATCCTCACAGGTTTACCGGACAGGCAGAGCGACGGGCCGGCCGGCCAGAGCAGGGTGGCAGCCGGGGTCTCTGTCGTGGAAATCGAAGCCATCAAAGCTTTCCTGAAGAAGTGCTGGAGCATAGATATCAGTACGAAGGAGTATGCCTATCTGAAAGGAGCTGTGCTGTTCAACCCTGGTAAGTCGGGGCTTGTACCTGTGGACCAAACTTATTTAACACAGGTGGCAACAGCTGACTTGTAAGTGCGGAGCAGCGTATAGACTGTGTCATTAAAATAGGTTTATTGATAAGTTTATGTATGTGTAATAAGTTTGGTTTATTTGGAAATCATCACTATAATCTTTATAAAGAAGCAACATTTCGTTCACTCACCCTAAATAGTGGTGTTTTTTAATATGGAAAAGGGAAGGTGCGTTTAATCTATGAAAATATAAGGCTGTATCCAGGTGTTGTCATTTCACAATTAGGGGCTCTCTCCACTTTCATCTCCCTTTCGGTCTCATTCCTTCTCCCCTCTCGTCCGTTCGCCTCAGATCTGGAAGGTTTGCGCTGTCTCCACTACATCCAGTCGCTGCGTCGGGAGGCGCACCAGGCTCTGAACGAGCACGTCAGGCTGATCCACCGAGAGGACACGACGCGGTTCGCCAAGCTGCTCATAGCCCTGTCCATGCTGAGGGCCATCAGCCCACCGGTGGTCGCCCAGCTCTTCTTCAGACCCGTCATAGGGACCGTCAGCATCGAGGAGGTGCTCATGGAGATGTTCTACGGGAAGTAGGTCACAGTCCATAGAGGACTGGGGTGAATTCAGCTGCTCCAGACTCTTATTGGGTAGGAAGTGAAGGCAGATGAAGAGGATATAGAGACTGAATTTACACCTACTGTACACGGGAGATCTTCAAGAACTGTGAAATGCCCAACACAGGCAAGAGAGTGAGTGTGTGCATGAGAGATCGAAAGAAAAAGAGTGTGTTGAGGGCAAGAGATATTACAATAGAGGAAAAATACAAAGCAGCTGCTGGAATTCGTAACTTATTTGTTTTTATATAAACTATTTTTCTATAATAAAAGTACTCTCCAGGCTGTTTTTGTTTTTACTCTGCTTGTGCCCTGTGCCTGTGATATCAGCTGTCATTACTGACACACTTTCCAGTGGGCCAAGTGTGAATCGGTCCTACACAGCAGCATATGTAGGCCAAGGAGATATGTCTCACTGTGTAACCAGTGATAACTCTGTACTTACAAATCTGACGTAAATCACCTTGAGAAGTCTGAGTCACACTGACTCGTGTCAACTGCTGTTAACACAAGTTATGTAATTACGATAAAGAGGAGGCTCAGAAGGCTGCAGTTTGGGTGTTCACACCAGCTGTTCACTGTTGAGTATAGAAGCTAAGTTGCAGTGTTTAATTGCAGATCTGTGACTTGTTCTTCTAACTACTGGTGATATACCAGGTTAGACCACCAGAGTGCAGCAGTGTACCACATGTAGCTGTTGTGCTGTGCACATGCATCACCCTCCACATCCGCCAAAACACACGCACACACACTCTCTGCACACAGATGGGTGCAGACACGGTATAGTAGAAGTGCCTCAGGTAATGTTCTATCTGCCCCTCCAACTCTGGCCATTACAGTGTGGATTTTTGCAGATGCAGACTAAAATATTCCTGGCATAGAGGAAGGAGAGAGGACTTAGTGGGAAAAATCTACCTATAGCCAGCAGAGGAGAAGCATCTGGACAATGACAGGTACTGTGGGCTAATGGCATCAGCATACAGCAGGGGTTTTCAACTAGATGTGACCCAGGAACCACCATTCTGACTAAGACACGACCAGAGGAGCAGTTATTGGGTGAATAGACCAGAGAGGAACCATTTTATTCCTAAAAGTTACAAATCCTAGATGCATAAATTTGTTTATTCACAAACAATAAGTAATACATGGAAACGTATATAAAAAGATTCCTATAGTGACATTAATGCATAATCAGAGAGGACTTGCAGTGACTTCACCAGAGGGCCACAGTCCACGGGTTGAAAGCTCCTGTGTGCAGCTTAAAGCAGCCTAGGAGATAAAATACTGTATGGCATGAATATTCATTCACCTTGGGTAATGCTGGAAAAGCTTCCTGCTGTTACAGTACACACAGTCTGACCAAATCATTTTATAAAGCGTGGTCCCTGGACATCTGCCTTTCGCTTCCAGCAGTGATAATACCGTCACTGTCCAAAGCCCAGATGGTCTGTACCTGTGCTCGGTCCCTGTGGCATAGTTCTGGCCCACCTTCATAGAATAACCTGCCCATGGGGTTACAGTTTTAGATTTCCATATGGCAGCTCTGATTACTCCTAGATTACACTCAAACCGAAGTACTCAGATCTTTTACCTAAGGAAAAGTAGCAACACCACAAAAATAAAAGGGACACTTAAAGCACTAAAAATACTTATTATGCAGAAAGTGTAAATTACTCACACAGAGCACATTTCAATTACCTTATACAATATTATTGGGTAGATTGTGAATTTTCCCCCATGGATCACTAAAGTCTTACTTTAAAGTTCAATAACAAATCATTATATATTTGTTAATTATAGTTTGTATCTGCTAAGTAATAAAATAGCTAAATGTAGTAGCATAAAAAATATGGGAGCAGAAGTGCAAAGTACAAAAAACTTACAACTGTATTTAAGTAGAGTGCTTGACTAAAGGTACTTAGTTGCACCAAGTAAAGGAGAGGAAGTGAAAATGAGTTAGAAAGAGATGGACAGAGGGAGACACACAGCTCATCTGCTGGAACAAAATGCAGGGAAAACTGTCTCTTTCAGTCAGAAAGCCAGTGGATCATGAAATGACCTCTTGTTCCTGGCTGGTTTTCTGCCTTTGTTCCTGCCATCAATGACCATGTAACAGCATATGGATGTTGACTGGGTGTGTGTCTGTGAGTTGAGAATAGAGGAGGCAGCTTGGAGGCAAAGAGTGCAAGGGAGGCATATTATTGTTCGAAAGCCATATTAGACCTGCTGTTTGATGTAGAACAACAAGAATTGATGATACCTGCCACATTTCTGCACATGGTGGAGGTGCTGGGCAGTCAAGTGTGTCAGTGACCTCTCCAACCATCCATATTTTATGTGTTTAACACTTTAGTAGAGGTACATGTACTGTAATTCAAAGTGCTCTACAGATGACAAGCTAATAATAAGAAGAATTGTGAACAGATTTGAAATCAATAAGACTGATGCACATGGCAAAAATATGAAATAAACAAAAACCAGCAAAATAGAATAAAATAACATAAGAACAGGTTTTTCAACTACTTAAAATCCACTGTGTACATGCAGAGTGGGGATTTCAAGTGGGCCTCAAAGTAGCAATGGCTTTGCCTCTGCTATTTTTTCACTATTCAGCAGAGAATAACCACATTCAATTAAAATGAGATGTTACTGAAAGGAAGATGCAAACCGTAAGCAGGGCCACTGAAGAAAACCACATAGTGTACACCAATCAGCCATAACATTATGAACACCTACCTAATACTGTGTACACAAGAGTCAATGTTGCAGTTGGTTGGCACTCGTGTCACTCTGCAGCTCACTGTGCATCTTCTGTGAATCCATTTGCTTCCATAGTTTTACTGTCAGGAAGAGCACGAATGTGTCGACCATTCAGTGAAAAACATATGTTAAAGGAGTGAAAACTGGTCGTGAGGATGAGAGAATTCTTTAGACCAATTCAACAGCCTCACCGCTGTAGGTAGATATAGCCACTGCATATTTCTCTTCATAGAGACCAACGTATAGTATTTCACTTTCATTCATTTTAACAAAGATTCAAACAAGATGTAATCTTATGAAAAGGATGAATGAAACTTAAAAGTTTATTCTACAGCAGGTCAACCTCATCATCAGTGAGCCGTGGGCATCCATGACCCTGTTTGTCCTTCCTCAGACCACTTTTAGTAGGTACTAACCACTACAGACCGGAAACACCAACCAAGACCTGCATCCTGGGAGACGCTCTGACCCAGTCATCAGCCATCACAGTTTGGCCCTCATCAGAGTCACTCAGATCCTTACGCTTGTCCATTTGTCCTGCTTCCAACACATCAACTTTAAGGACTGACTGTTCACTTGCTGCCTAACATACCCACACACACTGACAAGTGCCACTGCACCGAGATAATCAATAGTATTCACTTCACCGGTCAGTGGTCATAATGTTATGGCTGATCAGTGTAATGTTTATATGGTGACTCTCATTCACCTTCCAGTGGTCTCAAAAGACAATGCATGATATCACACACACCCACGCTGTGTTTTCATTCTTTGTGGGGAGTTTACATTGCCTTACATTTGTTTCCTATTGACTTATCCTACCTTAACCATAACCACTACTTTCCTATCCCTAACACCTAACCTTAAACCATGTTGTCACCCTAAAATTCAATGATTTCCTTGTGGGGACCAGAGGCCAAGTCCCCACAGTATGAGTGTGTTAACAGGTTTCAGTCACTGTAATGTAAGTAATACAAAGGCACACACACATACACACACCTTTGCATGTATGCCACTGTGGAATTTGCTCTGAAGATATTCCAGTCTGTCTCTCTACACAGTCCCTCTCAATGGGGCCTGTTTTCCCACCAATTAAGCTCTTAATTGCTCTGGGTAATAAAGAGTCTATTAATCCTGTGTCTGCTAATAAAACTCCAGCTGTCTGGCAGGAGGCTGCCAACATGCAACAGTCACCAGCTCTACTTGTGCTTGACAACATGTTGTGTGTGTTCGCTACAGCATGCCCACACTCTCCCTTCATCTGCCTTTAACTCTGCCAGTGTGTCCCTATCTTCTTCTGCTTCAGTTTCTTGTTCTCTCTGTTCTCTCCTGGGAGAATCACAGTAAATCTGCTTTGTGTTTTTATGTTTACCAGCATTCATCACAAACTGCAGGTAGTGTTTGTCCCCAGGAGATGACACTGTTTGGCAGCACTCACACCACTTTTGGTGCCAAAAAAGCCAAAATGTTTTTTTTTATACCAGCACATAAAGAGGATATTTTTATGTTTCCTGTTTCTAACTGAGAGGGTGGATAGATAAGAATAAAGAGGATGTCATGTGACAAATGTCTCCAGTACTGAACCAGGGAAATTCTGATTACATGGTCTAGGCCTCAGAGACATGGATGCATTTTAATGTCAGAATGCTGCACCAAATCACCAGAGCCAAGGCTTAAAGCTTTTCAAGTAACACATTTCCACAACAAATACCGAATGCATACACAATCAAATAATGAGTATTCACAGTAAATTCATGTAAAATTCAACCATCAAACAATAAATATCCACATCTAATAGTGAAGAACCAAACAAACAATGAATACAGAGGTAGAAGGCATTAAATGGGAAAAGGCAAAACAACCAGCCCACAATTAAATCAAGCTCCATATTTTTAAGAACATTTTTTTAATCAGTGTCTAGCTTTCATCACTTAATGTAACAATTTCATTATTTGATCTGAGCCATTACATATTGCTGCCACATTTGTTTTGGCAATTTGTTATTTGATGTATGCTTTGTGCCTGACCTGTCTGTCAAAGCTGCCCCTTCCTATAAAAAGAAAAAAGAAGATGCTGAAGAAGATATTATTTACAGTAAGCTATATGATTGTTCTGTGTAGCAGCAGTTGTAGTATATGAGTAATTAATTCACATTTCACATGGGTCATATTGGTCTGTGTCTAGGTATCATGAAAGACTGATGACCTGTCCAGGGTGCGCCCTGACTCTCACACCTAAACTCCCCACCACAAATGATATGTACAAATTGGTATGTTCCACGGTTGTATACTACTTCATATGATCATTCTCACTGACACATGCCAACTACTTATTATGGTATATTATGTCAGCAACCCTACCACTCTGTTTTCCAGCAGTTCCTGTAGGAGACCTAGAGCGAGAGCCCTAAAAAATAGGGCCAATCACCACTTTCTCAGTTTCTTTCCTCAGGCCATTCACCTTCTAAACAAAGACTCTTCTGTCATTGCAGCACATTTTTTTCACATTGTAATGCACACCATGTC